GGCCACTTATGGTGCCTCCTGCACCATATGTTTTATTTTTGAGTTTTGGAGTTAGCTGGATAATGTTGAATTCCTGGGGCTTCTTAATTTTGTTCAGTTTTAGAATAAACCGAGCCACCGAAACGCCAACAAACACCCTTAAAGCAGGGTAGGATCAACTTCTGCTCCCAGGAAACTGCAAGGCCGGGAGGATGGATACCCAAACCATGAAGCGAGACCTGACAGCATCATGAGGATCCATGTGGATGTGGGTGGTTTTAAATTAAGTAATGCCGCTCCATTAAATTAGCTCCAATAGAGCTGCTATAATTTAGAGCCTTTCAGCTTATAACAGCCTTTCAGATAACAGCTTATTTCCTGCGCTGCACTTAAGCCACTCTATGGAAGCCCTCAAATTCTTTCCAGCTGTAGCTGGAGTTCAGTCGAGGTTGCACAGCCCCCCGGTAAGGACTAAAATTACACAGCCAAGCTCTAGACACGCGTTATCTGCCTGCCTGTGTCTAAGTGTTGCATACGTGTCCATAGTGTACATAATTCTCCACCAGGAATGTGTCCATCAAAGCACATAGCCACGTTCCAAGGCCTTTGGATGGCAATGTATCAAATCCAATTAATTTTTTTTTTTGGCCTCTAGTCACTAAATGGCTCAAAAGAAAGACATTTATCTTTGTAGTGTGTGTCCTAGCAATGATAATAAATAAGGCAGCTCGGTCTCTTTAGCCACTGGATAAATTTTAAGGCACCTGCATAAGCAGAGACCCTCCTTTTTCATCCAAATTTGTCATCCTGGAAGGGAGATAATCCTCTGCGGAGGTCACAGAGGTGCAGGGAGCTTTAACAGTGGATGGTGAGAATCAATTATAACCTGAATTTTCCTCAGGAAAATGACTAAAGGATACCTGTAATTAAGCAAAACAGGGAGCATTCTAGTGCTGGCGCTTGAACTTTTCTTAATATAGATAGAAAGAAAGAGTTTCTTATTGAAAATGTTACCTTAGGCTTTGGGCAGGAGCACTGCACGTATTGAAGTGCGCATTGGCAACCTTCTCTTCCTATAAAACCAGCTCTAATTACAGCTCCTGCAAAACAAGGACTCGGCCAAGCCACAGAACATCCTCTCAGTCCGGTGGCAGGTAAAGCTGGAATTATTGTACCAAGAGCCTCAACGAACTTTGTAGAAATCCTTTTTCATTTTCGTCAAGGATTATCATTGTGGGAAATGAAAAGCTTAAGTCTTCACACAGCTGATAATTTCTCAGGTGGAAACTGTTTGTGAATTGGCTTTTTAAGAGTTTTAGCAGAAAGTTGATTTAGAAAGGATCACGCTTCCTAGAAAAAACAGTATTAACGCTCTGCAACCAAATTATCATCTATTTGCAAAAGCAAATGCCCTTTCTGCTGCTCTTCTTCAGTCTCATGACTGAACCCTGCACAGGTTCATGTGAGGCTGCAGTCCCCGTTACGGGATCTCCTTCAAGGCTGGGGGCCTGAGCTGCAGGAAGGTCTCGGGGTGCACGAGCACCTGAGCACTGACTCGCTCCAGCCCTCTCCTTCCTGCCGCAGCAGTGCTCGTTCACACCCCGCACCTACGTGGTGCTCAGCGCCGTGTTCGCCGCTTGGCCCAGTGGCCCCTAGTTTGGAGTGCACCAGGCCTCCGTTCTTGGCCTGCGGAGCCTGAGGAGAGCCCGGCAGTGCCATTAGTTGTGTTCAGGACAGGCTGGGCAACCCACCACCAGCTCGGGTGCTGCCACCTCCTCTCAGCAGCAGCTCAGCTTGCGGTCCTGGGGCACAGTGCCCGCAGCGGCTCTGCTCACCCATCGCCAGGACTTCATGAGCCCCGAGACGCTCGTGTCCTTCCGCAGAGCAAGGTGACACAATCGGCCACATTTATAGTTAGGATGAGTCCTTCCACCCCTGCCTATAGGAGGCCTGAAGTGCCTCCTATAGCTCTGTGCTTTCTGCTCCTGCTTTGGAGGAGCTACCTAAGCCTCCACATTCCCTTTGCTCCACCATGAAGCAGCAGCTGATGGGAAGAGCAGGACTGAGCAGCAGACAGTAGAGCGTGGTTCCCAAGAGCTGCCAAAAAAATACATATATTTTTAAAAGAACAATCCTACAAATACTTGAGTACTAGTGAAAAAAAAAAAGACTTGTAGAGAGAGATTAAGCCATTCAATCTGTTTTCATCAAAAGGAGATCAAAAGGAAACTTGATTACTGTGGCATGGGGAGTAAATAGAGGCACTAACAGGCTCTAAGTCAGCTGACCTAAGGGCCCTCTTGGCCCTGCTGTTGCAGGAATCCCCAGTAGCAGCTCAGTCCTGTCGTACCCCAGCTGCGGGCTCATTGGGCATCTCCACCAGAAGCCCCTGGCACATGGAGACTGCAACTCAAATGAGAGAATAACCAGGACACCCACCTGCCGAGGGGTTTGAAACCCTGGAATAGGGCAGGATGGTGTGTGCTTGGCCACTCGGACCAGCGTGCGGCTCCCGCACTGCGCACGGTACCTGCCGCAGAACTGCAGAAGGGCTGGGGTTGGAAGGGACCTCTGGAGATCACGTAGTCCAAGCGGGCTCAAGTAGGGATGGCAGAGCACGCTGCACAGCACCATGTCCAGACAACTCTGGATGTCGCCAAAGAAGGAGTCTCCAAGGAAGGAGACGTCACAACCTCTCTGGGCAACCTCTGCTCAGTCACCCTCACAGGAAGGAAGTTTTCCCTTCTGCGCTCCAGGTTTTTCCTCATGGCAAGAAGCCCTTTTCTGTGGTAGCAGGGCTGGCACCCATGAAGGGATGAGGGAAAAGCCTCTGGGAATTATTGTGTGAGTGGAGGCTGCTGCGGACCCAGCCCCAGCCCTGGGACCTTGTCCAGCCTCCCCCGCTCTGCCTGGGCCAGCCCCGCTTGTCCCCTGGACCCTGTGATCTCCCAAAGTGCTCCCCATTGCAGAGATCACTGCGCTCCCTGCTGCAGAGGTCCCCACACTTCCCATTGCAGAGATCCCTGTGCTCCCCCCTGCAGAGGTCCCCGTGCTCCCTGCTGCAGAGGTCCCTGTGGTCCCCATTGCAGAGGTCCCCAATGCAGAGGTCCCCGTGCTCCCTGTTGCAGAAGTCCCCACGCTCCCCGTGGCAGAGGTCCCTGTGCTCGCCGTTGCAGAGGTCCCCCCGCTCCCCATTGCAGAGGTCCCCATGTTCCCTGTGGCAGAGGTCCCCCCCCTCCCCGTGGCAGTGGTCCCCGTGCTCTCTCCCGGCCGTTCCGCAGGCCGTTCCCTGCAGGCCGTTCCCTGCTCCCTCCCTCGGAGGCTGCGGGATTTGCCCTTGTTCCCTTGGCAACCCGGTCCTGCAGAGCTCCCGCAGCAGCCTCGGGACCTCGGTACCAGCTTTCGCTAATCCAGGCCCCCGCCCTGAGGCTGCGTGTGCGTCTCTACCCACCCCACTGATGTGCCCCGAAATCCTCGCTGCCTCTCCAGACACGGA